CAGCTGGCAACGTCCACACCAACAACCGCCGTGCACTGGTGTATATATTCTGCACTAAACAGACACAAACCCAGTTTAATGTGTGTATTTCTATGGCTGCCCAGTGTGGTAGCTACAACAGACGCCATATGGTCAGGCTTGCGGCAACAGCTGGTGTAGTGTGACGTCAAACCTGGTAGAATGTTGCAGCTGATATCACAGTGCATTCAATACTGATGTAGTAGTATACTGTGAAACAGCTTTTGTTCCAAACACATTTCGTTAAACGAATCCGCCCGCATCGATTGGGCGAAAGCCTGATGCAATATGCTGTATATTGCTCATCTGTAAGTTTTTCACCATTCATTGACTTCTGATTTGTCAATTCATTCACTTTCGTAGTTTATCGCGCGTGTTACCTGTTGACGTTAGGTCTTTGAAGCGTGTGATTTGTGTGCCTTTTTTCGCGAACATATGTACGCGAACATCGCTTGTACCAGATAACATCACGTACATCGATGTAGACATGTTTAATTGCATGAATACATTAACTACATTTTTCACAATATGGTCCTGAGAATCGATCCACTGCATTCAACTGGTAGCATATTACGTGTATTCAGCCTTGACGTATTCATACAACATTCAATTCTTCTGTGGAATTCAATAGAAAACGAAATGAATGACGGGTTAATCGATTGCCTTACTAGTTGTTTAGTCTGGGAGTCTAGGAAGACTACTGTATTACGCAGAGCAAAGAGGGTCTTCCAAAGATCTATGCGCTAGTTATATAACGTGTTTAAAGGTCACTCAAGTTTGCGAACGGCTAGATTGAAAGTCTTTGAATATCATGAGGTAAACTCTCTGACAAAATCTGGAGTAGCTGATTATTTAGTGGTTCTGGTTGATGTATCAGTCGTGTATTTTCTTGATTAAAACGTCTTTACACAAATATGGTTAATATTTCCCCAATAATTTCAACGCCTATTCTTAACACGAAGAGCTAAGAGAAGACTGATTGCATACGGCTCAATAGCGCTATCTGCATTATGAAAGGTCTTCACGCATTGTATAAACGTCAAACCCAGACTCTTCAACCATTTAGCTCTTTCAACCTGCGGATAAACTGATATGCCACCAGAAGTGAATGTTGTTCCACGCTAAAGTAGCACATCTAAGCCAGTGGTTGACAAGGATGGAACGGTCGCTGGGACACGAGCACATCTATGCCAGTGGTTGACAAGAATGCAACGGTCGCTGGGACACGAGCACATCTATGCCAGTGGTTGACAAGAATGCAACGGTCGCTGGGACACGAGCACATCTAAGCCAGTGGTTGACAAGGATGCAACGGTCGCTGGGACACGAGCACATGTATGCCAGTGGTTGACAAGAATGCAACGGTCGCTGGGACACGAGCACATCTAAGCCAGTGGTTGACAAGGATGCAACGGTCGCTGTGGCACGAGCACATCTAAGCCAGTGGTTGACAAGAATGCAACGGTCGCTGGGACACGAGCACATCTAAGCCAGTGGTTGACAAGAATGCAACGGTCGCTGGGACACGAGCACATCTAAGCCAGTGGTTGACAAGGATGCAACGGTCGCTGTGACACGAGCATCTAATCCAGTGGTTGACAAAGGACGCAAGCCACATCTAAGCCAGTGGTTGACAAGAATGCAACGGTCGCTGGGACGCGAGGCCAGTGGTTGACACGATGCGAGCACATCTAAGCCAGTGGTTGACAAGGATGCAACGGTTGCTGGGACACGAGCACATCTAAGCCAGTGGTTGACAAGGATGCAACGGTCGCTGGGACACGATGCTACACTATCAGACAGGTATGGCATTATAACACAGGGTCTTAGTGTGGGAGGTATGGAGGACCCGTAATCCCCACGGGTATATGCCTGAGATAAGGCCTGCCCACAACAGTCTGGAATGCAGCGAACTTAGTGAAATCCAAGACAAGCAAGTGCAGCGGGAATGTCATGGGAGCTTTCACGACAGCAGGTTCAATATCACCACGGAGCAGCATCTAATGACTATGTGGCCTGCAGACTGCATGGGTCATGTCAGTGCAGGTTTGAGGGGTTGCCTAGTACAGAACTGGCTGATATGACATCGAACTCTAACGAGCACATGAAGGTTACATGAACTATTAATTAGACGCACTATTTGAGTTTCAGGCATAATTAACTTCATGGTAAGCGCCCCTTCCACACAGAGACGCACGATCGGTCATGTTGTAACATATCGTTGTTATAGGCATGGCGTCTATGCATATAATCATCTACCTAGTTGTCGCATAAAAGCAATCGCATTGATTTAGCTTGTGAGGTTTTCCTGATCAAGGGAAGTGTATACTTATAAGGGTTGGTTGGCCTTACCTCAACAGATTCATCACTGAATCCTGTGAGATGAATAATGTGGCATTGTTTGGGCAATGAATGCTCAGACTGAAGTAAGCAAGTGCTGTCACTGATGCAGCTATACTGAGCCTACACGTCCATCACTCCAGATACCTTTACGTCAGATTCACTAAGTGCATCACTCCAGATACCATTACGTCAGCTCCACCAAGTCCATCTCTCCAGATACCATTACGTCAGCTCCACTAAGTCCATCACTCCAGATACCATTACGTCAGCTCCACTAAGTACATCACTCCAGATACCATTACGTCAGCTCCACTAAGTCTGCAGGTCCATCTTAGCCTACACGTCCGTCACTTAAATAATCATTACGTAAGCTTCACTAAGTACATCACTCCAGATATCAGTACGTCAGCTCCACTTAGCCTACACGTCCATCACTCCGACAAGCATTAGTGCAGCTGACGTAATGATATAGCCTACACGTCCGTCACTTAAACAATCATTACGTAAGCTTCACTAAGTACATCATTCCAGAGATCAGTACGTCAGCTCCACTTAGCCTACACGTCCATCACTCCGACAAGCATTAGCGGAACTGACGTAATAATTGTTTAAGTGACGGACGTGTAGGCTAAGTGGAGCTGACGTAATGGTATCTGGAGTGATGTACTTAGTGGAGCTGACGTAATGATATAGCATACACGTCCGTCACTTAAACAATCATTACGTCAGCTTCACTAAGTACATCACTCCACATGTCAGTACGTCAGCTCCACCTAGCCTACACGTCCATCGCTCCAGCAATCAGTACGTCAGCTCCACTTAGCCTACACGTCCATCACTCCGACAAGCATTAGTGGAGCTGACGTAATAATTGTTTAAGTGACGGACGTGTAGACTAAGTGGAGCTGACGTAATGGTATCTGAAGTGATGGACTTACTGGAGCTGACGTAATGGTATCTGGAGTGATGGACTTAGTGGAGCTGACGTAATGGTATCTGGAGAGATGCACTTAGTGGAGCTGACGTAATGGTATCTGGAGTGATGGACTTAGTGGAGCTGACGTAATGGTATCTGGAGTGATGTACTTAGTGGAGCTGACGCAATGGTATCTGGAGGGATGTACTTAGCGGAGCTGACGTAATGGTATAGCCTACACGTCCGTCACTTAAACAATCATTACGTCAGCTTCACTAAGTACATCACTCCAGATATCAGTACGTCAGCTCCACCTAGCCTACACGCCCATTACTCCAGCAATCATTACGTCAGTTCCACTAAGCCTACACGTCCATTACTCCAACAAGCATTACCTCAGCTCCATAAGTACATTACTCCAGTTATCAGTACGTCAGCTCCACAAAGCCTACACGTCCATCACTCAAGCAATCATTACATCCGCTCCTCCACATGTTTGCCCGTCATTGAGACAGCTGAAATATACATCTGTAGCTGCAGCAGTTCCTGGCAGGTTCACCTATACCTAAATAGCTCCAGTCACCACTTCGTTAGCACCACAATATGCCTACATGCCAGTCCTTCCGTTAACCATTGAGGCAGCACTGAAACACGTCAGGTGTACCAGCGATCATTGAACATGATACAAGTAAGTCGCTGAAGCAATCATTGCGTCAACTCCTGCATACGTCACTTGCTCCAATACCAAAGGACGGTGTGAGCCAAGGTGACGCAATTCAACAGGTGCCCCTCTGTTCGCGCAATGCATCAACGCCCCATAATCGATGACCCACACTGAAGCTCTCTAGTGCTTGTGTGCTGCGATATTTCTGCTGCTATTATACGGCTTACGAACGAGGACCATAGTGCCACAATTAACAGCAGTTAAATCAACGATTTTTATTATGTTTCTATAACAATACTACGGACACGAAATATTACATTGGCATTATCTGCACCAAATGCAATCCTTTCGCCAAGAAAACACACGTGATGATTTGTTTATATTCGTAAAGAAGTTAGGTCAGGAACAATGTACGTTTCACGAATTTAGTGATACATGTGTTTATTGCAAATATTCGACTAAAATGTGGAAGTTCAAGCGGCCTGCAACAGCTGGGTATTGGCACTCCACTATTCCAACAACCTCTATGAGGCAGCTGTGCCAATTTTTAATCGAAACTGGTTTCACAGACAAATTCGTTCGACAAAATATATTGAGCTTAGTATTACACAAAAGGACTGATCAGAGTAACATTGGGCAAAGCCGAGTTTTCATAACCAGATAATTAAACACATGAAGCATCCCTAAATAGTATGATGCCATGAAAATGTAATATAAGGTTTGTTAGATTGGTTCAAGCGATGCGTCAGTTACACCCTTCACAGGCTAAACACAATAATACGTTGCTTAACAGGGGTTATATACTATCAGGGAAGATGTTATGAGGCTAAACACAATAATATGTTGCTTAACAGGGGTTATATACTATCAGGGAAGATGTTATGAGGCTAAACACAATAATATGTTGCTTAACAGGGGTTATATACTATCAGGGAAGATGTTATGAGGCTAAACACAATAATATGTTGCTTAACAGGGGTTATATACTATCAGGGAAGATGTTATACCGCCTTCAAGCAAAATAATAGGCATGCACGACATGGTGCTACATGTGCTTACCTCACAGTTACTTATGCTCAGCTTCTTGAGGTTGCTCATCCTGTTGACAGAGTCCCACAACTGATCCATCTCTACGGGCACAAAATGAAGACACAAAACACCAATTAACTTGGAGTAACCATGTTCAGTCAAACTCACAACTATTCGTCCCCCTTCCCTCATGGCGCGTTCACTCCTCACGTCGTTTAGCGGTAGGCCAGAGTTGATCTTTAGTTTAATAGTTTCCAGATTGCGGAGTGAATCTATAAACCTCTCGACCCCTTGACTTGAGATACTCCAGCAGGCATTTATAGAAACTTCACGGAGTCGAGGGAAATACATTCCGATTCGTTCCAAGTCGGAATCGCTTAGGGCATAACCGCCGTTGATCTGAACATGTTCGAGGTTTGTTAGTGTCTGGAGACTTTCCACCACAGCCCTGGTCCATAGAATCGGCAGTCTTAGATACTTCAAATTCCTAAGCCGAGGTATCAGTGAAAAGACGCTTTCGTAAACAAGCGAATGTTCCCGCCAAGTAAGTTTCTGAACATGATACCCGTACAACCGAAATATGCAGCACACAAGACTGAAATGCCCGTACGAATATTGTGATGGGTCGATGTGGAGAGACCTCCACAGAGAGCCAGATGTTAAAAGGATGTGTCTCCACTTATGGCATACGAGAGCCAGGGATGGCAGTCGGTCTTCAATCGGGCGAAGGTAGCCGAAAATCCGAGCAAGAACCTCATCAGGGAGACGGTTAATATTGCTTGGAGCGTTCGGGATACTGCATAACGGTGCGATGACATGTTCTCTGCCGTTAGGAATTTCATCCCCATCAAGCAAACGGTGATAGTGAGCCAGGTTTGGCATCCACCTGAAATTATTATATCGCTCCATACCTGATCTCCAGCGTGTTGAACATACATGATCCAAGTATACGATCACATCGATGACAACATTGTAGGAAGAGGTTCATTCATAAAACGCCCACACGTCCCAGCAGCCGATTAAGTCCAACCGCAGACGACAAATTATCACGTGACTCCATGACGCATGTGGTGTTGAGTGGCGTAGGCCTCAGGTGATTGAGATATTTTCAAAGCCAACGTGGACCCGGAAATCAATATTTTGATATAGTCAGCTGGTTAAAGTTGCCACGTGGTTGGTATGCTTTATGGCCACTCGGTAATACAGACAGAGAAATACTGGAGTTAGCAGGAATACACTGGTTCCGAGGGTCCCGTTCCGTCCATGACTGCTAACCATTTCGCCCGTCTAAATTGTAACTCACTCATCAGAGACAATTTGATTATTTGTATGTCAGCACCAACCAGCATCCCTCTACGGCAACAGCTGGTGCTTCGGTGCACGGACAATGTGTACACAGGCAAAGAGATTTAAGTGAAAGAAGTGATCAATAGCTATTGTTCGGGTTAGTTTAGGTACTGAAGCTCACCTTCCTTATACACATTTGCTACAGTTTTGATGCAACTGTGAACGTTTGTATCTTGTACAAGCAATATTCAAGATGGAGGTCTGGACAAGATTCCAGTGACTGACATCATGACACTCAATCTACACGGCTGACATACAATGGGATGCGTCAAAAAGGTCATGCTCAGGGGAAATCTGCACAGGAGATTGTCCTGTGACAACTTGGCTACATGAGACACCCAATCATGAAACATACACCAGAATATGTCAAACAGGTCATAAAACATCAACAATAATCTTTGATTCTTGGATAATCTTTGACTCATTTAATGATTGAAGTATTGGCTTTTCCAGACATCGACCTGGGTCAACTCCCAATATTGGTACTACTTGAAAACGCATTTCTGTCCCCTAGTCTGGTATAGTAGCCCCTAGCAAGTACAAGACCACCCTCAGATATCCTTCTAAATGTAGCATACCCGTGAAGATGCGGGTTAGAATTGATCTTCAGTAACCCATGCTTGTCGTAAGCGGCAACTAATGGGATCAGGTGGTCAGACTCGCTGACTTGGTTGGCACATGTCATCATAACCCAATTGCGTAGATCAATGCTCATGCTGTTGATCAGTGGATTGTCTGCTCCAGACTCGATTATTTACAAACTGCCGCCATATAGCTGGAATATTGCTGAGTGCTGCGTAAAACTCACTCTAAATGCAGTATGGATATTCTGACGAATCTAAAACTATTATTCTTTCTTTCTGGCCACTCAGTGCCTCAAAAGGATCAAGTGATTACACTTTATCCTGGAGATTGTTTTACAGTGCAGTCAATATTCAAAGTACATCATGGTGACCTGTGAATGTAGGACTCCAGGACAGGCAAACCACTGGATACCAGCTTCCACATGGAGGACAGCGTGTCTGTCCGTTTGGTGGCAGGTCTTTCTGGTGGCAGGTCTTTCTGGATACACCCACAGGGTAAATTAATATTCACTCAGTCTGTAGTGAAAGTGTGAGTGAGCAAATGTCAGAATTTCACTACAACTTATAAGTATTAAAAAATGGGCCAGTGACAATCCACATTGATTAGACAAAAGATATTAAGTAAGACCAATGATATCAATGTTTATTCAGCAGATCAGACTTGAGTGAGTGAGAGAAAGTTGGGTTTTACGCCACAATATCCCACTTACATCATGTGTGTCAGCATAATGTGCGAGGTAAGCCCAAAGTCTCAGATGTACAAACGTTTGCCATTCTGTACAGTGAATTGCTGCTTCTTTGATGATATTGATGACTTGGCCATTCTTGACTCCTCAAACATGAAGACTGACATTGCTCCATTCAGATTTTCCATACAAAATGCAATCCTCAACATGAGATGTCCTAACGAATAGCTAATGCATGATACTCTCCCCAGAGGAATCTTCAGAGATGTCAACCTTTTTCAGCTCCAAATAGTAACTTGCTTGGACAAAAGTAGTTTTTTCAGAAAAATGTAATTTTTATGATAGAATTGATATTTTATACTTATCCTGACTCATGCTTATTTCCCTTCTCCTTTCCACGGTTAAGTGGAAACTTGATTCCTTTTCTATTCCCTGAAGTAACAGTCATAACAGGCAATATGTTTTAAACAGTAATAACATACCTATAAGCTGATATGATGGAATATCAGTACAAACTGTAGGAGTAAGTTTAGTTTTGTTTTTGTTTGTTTGTTCAGCAATATTCCAGCAGTCTGTAAATAATCTATTCTGGACCAGAAAATCCAGTGATCAACAGCATGAGCATTGATCTACACAACCAGGATACAATGACATGTGTCAACCAAGTCAGCGAGCCCGTCATGACATGAGCCTCTTATGACAAGCATGGATTGCTGAAAACCAATTCTAACCCAGATTTTCCCGGGTCAATAAGTTAGTGATCAATTAACACTTGTAAAGAATATGGTTTCTGAATCAGGCACATTCTTTTTTTTGATTGCCAAGTAAAAGGGGTTTTCATAGGGATATCTACCTATCTACCAATCAGTAGTGTTCTATTTCGCCGTTTCTGCTTACAGTTAAGTTTACATATTAAACTAAGAATCAGTATTAATGAGGGTCACCAACATTGTGGTCTTAATATTAAATAATCACATGCACAAAATTTCAGAAATTTTACACTTTCACTGAGATGATTGTACTGTGGTAACTTCGGGTGTAAAATCATAATGAATATCTAAAAATCCTGTGTGTTGGCACCTCTGAATCTGTTTAGACATTTAGCATAAACACTTTATGAAAGCAATCACTTGTCAGAATAACTCAACAGCAGAATACATTGGTCATTTTAATAAAAAAATCAATATCACAGAAGTCCTTGATCATGTTCCCTTCAGCTCATCGATTCTGCAGACTATTGTGTCCAGACTGGCACTGAGGTCATCACAAGGCTTCTGTAGCTTCTGGGCCAGTATTTGTGTCACAGGGTCCGTGTTTGCCTGCTGAAATAACACAACAACATAACCTGCAAAATTATCAGTATGGAGCAATTTAACATGTTGAAAATCTCACAGGGGCGTGTCACGCTTAGAAACAGCGTTAGAAATACATGTAGGTATGTAGACCCTACCCTAGTACTATATAAAAGGAAAGGGATGTAACGACGAAACCACCCTCTCCTCAATCAAAGTTAGATTTCACCACGTAAAATATTTTTAAGGCTCCGCCAAGGCCTACGGATCAAAAGCTAGATGATTTCCTACAAAATGAGCTATAAATGGTCACAATCGGATCATTATTTCAAAAGTTATATGCCACAACTCACCGAAAACAGCTACCTCCACAATTCCAAGCCAAAATCATGGATCAGCAAAGACAGCGAAAACTCACCTTTTAAATTCGTTTATTACCGTATATGACCGTCTATAAGCCGAATTTTGAGGACCAAAAAAAGCAGTCTGTGGAAGGGGGTCGTCTTATTCATGGGTTACGCTTTAGTCAAACTTTTTTCCAGGTGTAAGAAAACAACATCGTATCACTTCGCGTGAACAAACAACAGAAGACGACTTTGTCAGTAGAGACGTCAAATTTGCAATTAAACATCACTAGACAAGATTATTTACCTTGTAAGTTATAAATTGGATTTTGCTGGGCATTGTATTATTTGCAGGGATTAAGATTACCGTGTGTATCTGAGCCGGAAATAGCAATCAGCTGTGCACACGTTTCCCGGCGAACAAGTTCAAACATGCACAATAATATAACGGGTTGAATTTTGACGCAGTCGTCAGTAAAATATAATACAGAATACTATTATTTAACCCAAAGAAATATATCCTAGCATTGTGTAATTTTAATTACAGTTTTTATGAAAATATATATATAATCAACACTAAGGTTATACGGACCCTCATGAACGTGGTAAGCAGAAGTTGTACGCACATGGAATGGGGTAAAATACGGAAGCCATTTAAATTCACACATTTTTACCGATGTTACTGTAAACTAGCAGTCAATGGAAAACGAGGCGGTAATCATTTTGTGATTGTTGAATGGGGTAAAATAAGCAAGCCAGTTTGTTGCTACAATAAATATGATACAGTAGAACACGGATATAGCAAACACGGATATAGCGTACAAACGGATATAGCGAACAAATTTAAAAGTCCCGTCAACAGTCCTTTATAATATCATTAAAATTATACGCGAATAACGAACTCATGAGTAGCGAATTAACGGCTATAGCGAACTGATTTACTACCCCCAAGCCCAACTATCGACGTGATTAGCGAACTCATTAACGTGTCTGTGATGCAGTCGGCAAAATGAAGTCTGCAAGACGTGGTGTGCAGAGCAAAATTGTGTACTTTGTTAAACGTAATTAAGTTATATACATGTATTGTTGAGATTGTTGTGATTGTTAAACATGTTCTAGCTAATGTCTGTGAATGATAAATTCAGAATTTTAATGTTATGTCAATGTACATGTACAATAATAAATATTTGTAGCCTCAGCATATACGTGTCTCTACATCTCTACAATCCAAGATGGCGGTCAAATGTGAATAACGAACACCGGATATAGCGAACTATATTTCGTGGTCCCTTGGAGTTCGTTATATCCGTGTTCTACTGTATTTAGAGAAGCAAAATATATTATGCATTTTCTGTCAACTACACTTCGTTTCGATTCGTGAGTAGACACAATATATATGACTGTGAATTCTTTGAATAATGTGGACCAAAGTTATAATTATTGGTAACTGCCAGTTGTCTGTGGTCTGTGTTTGCCGCGATTAGGACCCCATCGCGGGGGATCGACTTATCACTTATGCACGAAACATACCATTTTGACACTGATTTTAAGGGTCAAGTTTGGGGGTCAACTTATCCATGGGGTCGTCTTATAGACGGTCATATACGGTAATTCCAGGCACGTTGACAGCACCTATCTAGCACTAGATTCTATCGGCGGCCATATTCCACTGGTCTAAAAACTGATTGCAACATCCACATATCATTTCCTCGGCAGTAAGCAGGCATTTTCTACAGAATCACCGGCAATCATACTCACTTGTCGGCCATAGATGACCTTGACATTCAAGTGACATGAGCAGTAAATTGGTAAAAATAATTCTTACCAATTTACTGTTCCATACATCATCCAAAATAGAAGGAATATTGCAAAGTTCATATTTCGTGCCCATTAGCAAACAGACAAAATCTTACAGGATATATTTTTTCCACCAATGGGAGGCCCCGAGTCAGTTTGTGCAGATCTGCTCAGGTCACTTGAATGTCAAGGTCATCTATGGCCGACAAGTGAGTATGGTTGCCGGTGATTCTGTAGAAAATGCCTGCTTACTGCCGAGGAAATGATATGTGGATGTTGCAATCAGAATTAATAAACGAATTTAAAAGGTGAGTTTTCGCTGTCTTTGCTGATCCATGATTTTGGCTTGGAATTGTGGAGGTAGCTGTTTTCGGTGAGTTGTGGCATATAACTTTTGAAATAATGATCCGATTGTGACCATTTATAGCTCATTTTGTAGGGAATCATCTAGCTTTCAATCCGTAGGCCTCGGCTGAGCCTTAAAAATATTTTATGTGGTGAAATCTAACTTTGACTGAGGAGAGGGTGGTTTCATCGTTACCTCCCTTTTATATAGTACTAGGGTAGGGTCTATATACCTATATGTCTTTCTAACGGTGTTTCTAAGCATGACACGCCCCTGTGGAAAATCTTACCATCCTGTGCCATACAAGACAATGAGAAGAGGTTGAGAAAAAGTGAAAATTGGGTTGAATCATACTTCACATTCAAGATCATTTGTTTCATAATAGCATTTGTGTTTGTGCCAGTTGGTATTAGTTTAAACCAAGTTTATAAGGCCTACTAACATACCATAACACGTTGTCAGTTTAGCCATAGACTTTGTACTTTGTACATTGACGCCATGCATGCCAGGTATATGAATGACCAAATAAAATGTCTCTCAACATAGAAAGTTACTGTTTTCTATATACTGTAGGCATTAGTGCACTTTGAAATAGGACCATGCCACTTTATTGAAAGGTTGAAGGCAGGTGCAATCAGCAGCACTGGTGCATAAAGTTGTTTATTTAACACTGTAGGCATTATTCACTGTAGGCATTAGTAGACTCCACCGCCAGGCAGGGGAACAAGTACCATGTTTTAATGGGTCGCTTTGACCTGGCCAGGAGATCTTACTGCATCATAATATTGGATGGACAGAGTGCTGCTAGTTTATGTTGTTGGACAATCAGCTGTCCGTTGTGGAGTGAACACAAATATGACAAGACAGCAATATTTCAGTTATCTCATGCCAACATCTAAGTACAGTCCAGCTATTGTGGAAGATGTATTTTCTGGGGAAATTATACGGATATGGTAACACTGAGAAATCATGGACTAAAACAGTAGTGATTCAATGTTACACATACAGCACTCAGTCATTTCACTCTAGAAAACAAAGACCTCTACCTTTAACTTCACCAGGAGGCTTTTCAGCATCAGTTTAGCTGATGACAAGGAGCTGATAGCTTGTGATGGTGCACAATGCTCTGTGAACTTAAGATGTTCTGAAAACCAAAAAACTATGTGTAAAAACTGTGACAGATGGCGATACCTGGCTATCTACTCACAACAAATATCACATGACTCATGACATACCCTCCCTAAGCTTACCATGAGTTAGCAGCTGACCAAAGCAGCAACAGTACCAACATACCTTACCTATGTGTGGGAGCCAAGACAGTTGCCATAGTTACATGATCCATGGTATGGAGCAGGGACAGTTGTTATAGTTACCTGTGGCTAGTTGTTGAGATTGCTCTGCTACAGTCACACACTGATCCACATCCTTCTCCCACCCGGAGGTCTGCATCACACAGCGATGAGCCTTCTGAAGGTACTGCACGGCCTGAAACATACAGGTCACATAAACTGAGGTCAAGCACAATATTGTCTCTATCCAACAAAAAGGTCACATAAAATGAAGTCAAGTACAATATTGTCTCTATCCAGCACAGAGGTCATATAAACTGAGGTCAAGCACAATATTGCCTCTATCCAACAAAAAGGTCACATAAAATGAGGTCAAGTACAATATTGTCTCTATCCAGCACAGAGGTCATATAAACTGAGGTCAAGTACAATATTGTCTCTATCCAACACAGAGGTCATATAAACTGAGGTCAAGTACAATATTGTCTCTATCCAGCACAGAGGTCATATAAACTGAGGTCAAGTACAATATTGTCTCTATCCAGCACAGAGGTCATATAAACTGAGGTCAAGTACAATATTGTCTCTATCCAACACAGAGGTCACAAAAACTAAGGTCAAGTACAATATTGTCTCTATCCAACACAGAGGTCATATAAACTGAGGTCAAGTACAATATTGTCTCTATCAAGCACCGAGGTCATATAAATTGAGGTCAAGTACAATATTGTCTCTATCCAGCACAGAGGTCATATAAACTGAGGTCAAATACAATATTGTCTCTATCCAGCACAGGTCATATAAACTGAGGTCAAGTACAATATTGCCTCTATCCAACACAGAGGTCACAAAAACTGAGGTCAAGTTCAATATTGTCTCTATCCAGCACAGAGGTCATATAAACTGAGTTCAAGTACAATATTGTCTCTATCCAAAGCAGAGGTCATATAAACTGAGGTCAAGTACAATATTGTCTCTATCCAGCACAGAGGTCATATAAACTGAGGTCAAGTACAGTATTGTCTCTATCCAGCACAGAGGTCACATAAACTGAGGTCAAGTACAATATTGTCTCTATCCAACACAGAGGTCACATAAACTGAGGTCAAATACAATATTGTCTCTATCCAGCACAGAGGTCATATAAACTGAGGTCCAGTACAATATTGTCTCTATCCAGCACAGAGGTCATATAAACTGAGGTCAAGTACAATATTGTCTCTATCCAGCACAGAGGTCACATAAACTGAGGTCAAGTACAATAATGTCTCTATCCAGCACAGAGGTCACATGAACTGAGGTCAAATACAAGATTATATACTTTCAATACAGAGGTCACATAAAATATTGTAAATACATCACACACTCCTCATATACAATACTGTATATAGACAACATGGTTTTCAGCATTATTAGTGTCTGATGTACAAATCAGCTATGACAGAGGTGACGTGTGACACTCTTGAGTACAGAGGTCACATAAGACACTGCCTTGTGGAGAACACAGTAGTCACAGGAACTCCAACAATATAAAACACTCGCTATATATCACAGCCGATAGCTTATACACCCAGCTTATCAAGCCAGCCAATACAACAGACCACTATTTCTTGAATGTGTTCTGCTATGTTCTTCCTATATGGTATATTTGATGTTCCATACAGCGAAGGAGAAGGCTGCTCCAACTGTTCACCTACCCTCTCTGCTGTTGTTGGATCAGGGCAATCCACACTGCTGACAAGCTTGCTGTACAGACGCCAGATCTCGGCCTCAGTTGTCACCTGGGCAGGAACATGTCAAAGTCAGCTCACATTTCTTCATATGATAATAAACATAATTTCTTAAGTGTAGCTTGTTATTATGATTACATTTATTTAATTGCTGCATAATAAGAATGTTTTGTTATTATATTCATGAGCAACAACTTACTGCAGCTGTGACTCGACCGAACAGCTCCTGGAGCTTTGGGCGAAGTCGGCCTGATGGTCTGTCTGAAGCATCCTTCAAGTTTTCAGTCACTGCCTTTACAAGGATTCTCAAAACCTGAAATATAATCCAGTTGAACTCGTATGAATTATCACTCTTCAATGATTCACTGAAACAACAGTGCCAGCATCTTGCTGTGTATGAAACCACAGTGCCAGCCTCTTGCTGCATATGAAACCACAGTGTGAGCATCTTGCTGTATATGAAACCACAGTGCCTGCATCTTGCTGTGTATGAAACCACAGTGTGAGCATCTTGCTGTATATGAAACCACAGTGCCAGCATGTTGCTGTGAATGAAACCACAGTGCCAGCATCTTGCTGTGTATGAAACCACATGTTGCTGTGTATGAAAACAACAGTGCCAGCTGTCAGCATCTTGCTGTCTATCTTGCTGCTGTATGAAACCACAGTGCCAGCATCTTGCTGTGTATAAAACAACAGTGCCAGCAATTTGCTCTATATGAAACCACAGTGCCAGCATATTGCTGCATATGAAACAACAGTGCCAACATCTTGCTGTGTATGAAACAACAGTGCCAGGCATCTTGCTGTATGTGAAACCACACTGTGAGCATCTTGCTGTATATGAAACCACAGTGCCAACCTCTTGCTGTATGTGAAACCACAGTGCCAACATCTTGCTGTGTATGAAACCACAGTGCCAGGCATCTTGCTGTGTATGAAATCAGTGTCAGCATCTTGCTGTATATGAAACCACAGTGCCAGCATCTTGCTGTATATGAAACCACAGTGCCAACATCTTGCTGTGTATGAAACCACAGTGCCAACATCTTGCTGTATGTGAACCACAGTGCCAACATCTTGCTGTGTATGAAACCACAGTGCCAGGCATCTTGCTGTATGTGAAACCACAGTGCCAGCATCTTGCTGTGTATGAAACAACAGTGCCAGCATCTTGCTGTATATGAAACCACAGTGCCAGCATCTTGCTGTATATGAAACCACAGTGCCAGCATCTTGCTGCATATGAAACCACAGTGCCAGCATCTTGCTGTATGAAACCACTGCATATGAAACCACAGTGCCAGCATCTTGCTTGCAGCATATGAAACAACAGTGCCAGCCTCTTGCTGCATATGAAACCACAGTGTGAGCATCTTGCTGTGTATGAAACCACAGTGCCTGCATCTTGCTGTGTATGAAACCACAGTGCCAGCATCTTGCTGTATATGAAACCACAGTGCCAACATCTTGCTGTGTATGAAACCACAGTGTCAGCATCTTGCTGTGTATGAAACCACAGTGCCAGCATCTTGCTGTGTATGAAACCACAGTGCCAACATCTTGCTGTGTATGAAACCACAGTGCCAGCATCTTGCTGTGTATGAAACCACAGTGCCAGCATCTTGCTGTGTATGAAACCACAGTGCCAACATCTTGCTGTGTATGAAACCACAGTGTCAGCATCTTGCTGTATATGAAACCACAGTGCCAACATCTTGCTGTGTATGAAACCACAGTGCCAGCATCTCGCTGCATATGAAACCACTGTGCCAGAATCTTTTCATACAATTCTAGTATGTTGCTGTAGACAACTATCCTAGCGTCTTGCTGTCTGTAAAACACTTCTCCAAGGGTCCTGTGAACATCAGACACATCGCCAACACAATCAGTCCTAACTGTTACTTGGGCCAACAAACACATTGCTCCACCAAACATACACCACACAAATCAGGCACAATCAAATCATGAGGTCTGACGTGATGGTGGGCAATATGCCTGTGTGTTGGATATTTATTGCTGCAATATTCCAGTGGCAGTCTGTAAATCATCAAATCTGGACCAGACAATCCAGTGATTCACATTATAACCATAGATCGACACAGTTGGGATACAATAACATATATCAACCAAATCAGTAAGAATGACCACTCATTCTGCAGCAGCAACAAACACGTTGTCACTGACAACAAGCATGGGATGCACAAAATGGAGAAAAATGTTCAAAGAATACATGCAATATGTAAATGCAAACATTTTTTAAGAATTGTGTTTGTGGTTGAGTGTCTGTATGTACACCACCCACCTGAACATCCGTCCACTTCTGCTTGATGTCCAGCAGTCGGTGATATGCGTGAATAACATCCTCAAACTCTCCAATATCGGTGCCGATCTGGGGACAAATAACAAACCACACATTATCCTTATAGTCACTCTGTGTAACATTGTTTCCTGACTAACAACCAGTGGTTGCTATCCACTTCTTTGTGTTTCTCTTCAATGACTGGTCAATAGGCTCATTCTGGTAATATTGTACAATCACATTTAGCATATTGTTTCCTATACTGACATATTGGATGTAAAATGCCATGCACCATCCATGAAAAGCAATGTTAAATACTTCTAGGTATAGTGAGTGAGTGAGTGAGTGAGTTTAGTTTTACGCTGATTTTAGCAATATTCCAGCAATATCACAGCGGGGGACACCAGAAATAGGCTTCACACATTGTGCACATGTGGGGAATTGAAAGACTGTGGCGTGACGAGCAAATGCTTTAACCATTAGGCTACCCCACTGCCACCTTTTAGGTATAGAATGATATTGGAGTTATGAAGCAGTTCCGAACTGTGACTTACAGTGAGATAGTTGTCCCACAGTCTCCAGTTATCAAAGCTGTATTTGATTGCATCCTTCAGAACTTTGAATGCAGCAGGTCTGGAAATAGGAATAGAAACTCTTAAGTCTGTATACACACCATGTGTCCTACTGAAGTAGAGCATTCTTACATTCTAAACATTACATAATATCATAGTAGAACCTCCATAATGTACACCCTGACACTCTTCTAAGATACCAATGATGATTTGTATTCATAGCAGATACTTATTTTTTCTTGTATGCTTGTCTTCAATGTTTCGTGTTAATATTGTGACAGTCAGCTGTAATATGACCAATGAGAACCTGTGTCTACACAGGCACGGAGTAACATTTCAACAGTCAGCTGTAATGTGACCAATGAGAACCTCTGTCTACACAGGCACGGAGTAACATTTCAACAGTCAGCTGTAATGTGACCAATGAGAACCTCTGTCTACACAGGCACGGAGTAACATTTCAACAGTCAGCTGTAATGTGACCAATGAGAACCTCTGTCTACACAGGCACGGAGTAACATTTCAACAGTCAGCTGTAATGTGACCAATGAGAACCTCTGTCTACACAGGCACAGAGTAACATTTCAACAGTCAGCTGTAATGTGACCAATGAGAACCTGTCTACACAGGCACGAGTAACATTTCAACAGTCAGCTGTAATGTGACCAATGAGAACCTCTGTCTACACAGGCACGGAGTAACATTTCAACAGTCAGCTGTAATGTGACCAATGAGAACCTCTGTCTACACAGGCACAGAGTAACATTTCAACAGTCAGCTGTAATGTGACCAATGAGAACCTCTGTCTACACAGGCACGGAGTAACATTTCAACAGTCAGCTGTAATGTGACCAATGAGAACCTCTGTCTACACAGGCACGGAGTAACATTTCAACAGTCAGCTGTAATGTGACCAATGAGAACCTCTGTCTACACAGGCACAGAGTAACATTTCAACAGAGTCCACTGAATCAATGAGTTCAGTAAAAGATGAACGGTTTGGCACTTACAGTTTCTTCATTCTCACCAAACAACTGGAAAGATTACCCCATGCCTCAAAATTCTGCAAAAACAGAAAAAAAGACACTTAAATCAAGCTAATCCCTCACAGTAGCTGATGGCATTGAGCTGAAGGCTATATGAGAAGTTGGGACACTTCACAGACTTTGAAGAATTTGTATTTTTTATTCTTTGCTGAAAAATCTGTCTATCGTGTTTATACGACAGCAGGAATTCCAGCTTGACCACAGTACAAGAATCTGTATTGAAATATTCCACTCACAAAATAAAAGCTGATGTCCATAATGTTTGTCTATGTTATACTTCCCAACTTCTAAATGCCACTCAAACAAGTAATCATGCCCTCAGTATCACAGCATTGTGTACATGTCACTCTAGACGACGTATGTTGGCTTGACTTGGGAGATAAAATACCAACGAAGAATAACACTATCAAGAAACAAACAAAGCATTTGAGACTGACAAACTGGCAAACGTGACTTAGATCGGCTTAAATATCGGCTTAAATGTTGGCACACTGATACACATGACTCACACTGACGCACATGACTCATATCGCTTCAATGTTCACACACTGACACACATGACTCACACTGACGCACATGACTCATATCAGTTTCAATGTTCACACACTGGAACACATGATTCACACTGACACACGACTCACATCGGCTTCAATGTTCACACACTGACACACGACTCACATCTGCTTCAATGTTCACACACTGACACGCATGCCTCACTTGGGCTTCAATGTTCACACACTGACACATGACTCACACTGACACACATGACTCACATCAGCTTCAATGTTCACACACTGACACACATGACTCACACTGACACACATGACTCACATCAGCTTCAATGTTGACACACCGTCGGAAGGCCGCTGCTGCTTCTTCGTATTTCTCTATGGTCATGGCAGTACAGCCGTATGTAAACCACACCGGGATCTGGAAGTAATCAACACAGTATATAAATTCCATATCAACACAGTGGCTACATTTCGTATCAACAAGGTCACTTGGTACAGTTGATATCAGATGTTGCCACATGCCTTGGCGCCACACGTCAGCTGACATCATAAGCTGCTCTCAACATCCTAAACTCACACATTTCATACTTTATAGTTTATAGTCTTTTTGATATTTCCTATTCAAAAGTATCTGACAGTAAGCTACCATAATAAGAGTAAATATTAGGGCTGGATATTGCCCTGATTCTCATATTGCGATATATTGCAATAATTCAAGAGATATTGCAATATATATTGTGATATATTGACTGGAAGGTTTCTGCCCAAGTGTGTACATAAAAAATTCATAATAGGTCTCTGTGTGCGACATCATCTTCTTAGTTGCTGTTACACCATCTGTTCTGGCTTCCTGTCCCCATTGTGTATGGGTGTATGCCAGTGGTGTACAGATAAATGATACAGAGACTTAATGTGGAATGTTTCATTGAAGTAACTGTATTGCAACAAAGCTTTGCGACCATAATGATAAAGGTAACAGTATAACATGATTTCCTGGTCAGTGTTGTTTGCTTCAACAGAATGCTCTTCAATGAAGTATGTAATTATTGTTACTATCAGGGGTGGAAATAACTTTAAAATTGCTAGTGTACTCCGGTACAGTATCACATGTAAAATCACTTGCCCCGATAAGTTTTCCACTATACCGGCTGTCTTCTTGTTGATTTCTTAAATTAACAACATAATTAACATTAGAAAGTCAACAGGACACCGGTATTGTGTGATATACAAATTTGCTTGCCCGACAGAAAAAACACTGGACTCGGACGCCGGCAATGAGTTATTTCCACCCCTGACTATATGTCAGTGATTCATTCAGATTCAACTCCAACATAAACATGTGTTAACATGAACTGTTGTAAAATGAAACAAAAACATGATTTTGATGAACTACTTGAGCTTAAATCTCATGTGACCTCCAATAACTAAGATCCTTCACTAGAATGTCATTATACAGTCCTACAAAATTTATAAGACTTTGGCCTTTATCATAAATTGATAACATATGTCCCATTATGAAACAAAACAAATATAACAAAGTAATGGGAACTGTGAAATGGTCACTCAGAGCCAGTAGCTCTACTTATAAGTCCAAATAAATGATTGGTCAACTTTTTGAAGGGCATTTAGAAGTGGAATGCATAAGAAAAGCAAGATTTATGGATGTCAACTTTTTTATTGTGAATATTCATGACCTGATGAAGGAGCAAGCATACACTCCGAAACGTTGTGTTATTCACAACAATAAGTTTCCATCCATAAATCTTGCTTTTCGTAAAAGATTGGTCCATTTGAGGCCACTTAATTCCTACAAAACATCACATATGAAACCATTCAAACCCAAAAACGTAAAGCATTTGGTAGAATATTTGGCACTTTTGCAGCCACTTATACACTTGCATTTGTAAAATTCTACATGGAACAGAAAAGAAACAAAAGTATATTTGGCACTTTTAGAGCTCATTTTGTTGCTATGGAAATCAAGGGCAGATAATTCAAAAGGAGATAACTCTGGATGACCCAATATATTGCAGAATCTGAACCATATCGCGATAATCGTATCGCGAGATACTTTACCGGTTTATACGGGTTTACCGGTAATATTGCACAGCCCTAGTAAATATATACTTATAATCTGTATATTCTCCTGACAGCCATCACCACCTGCCTAGACCAATACTAGCCCCTGGACCCATTCACATGGTTGTGAAACTGCTACCCCTGGAGATACGGTGGATGCAAGTGAGATTACAGTGAACCAGAATACCTTCCGCCAATCACTATATGAAACTAGTTTCAGAAACTGATTTTTTTCTTATGTTAATTATATTATTTTTCTGACAAATGTAACTTAGCTGTTGTAAAAAATATCATCACATTCAATAAATTTACAAAATAGATATGTCGTTATACTTTCATCTAAACCGAGCAGATCTGCACTATGTAAAACCAACCAAACAGCATGATGTGTACATTACTGATCACATGTTTATACACGTTCACAGTGAGTGAGTGAGTTTACTTTTATACTGCTTTTAGCAATATTCAAGCAATATCACAGCAGGGGACACCAGAAATGGGCTTCACTGTTCACACATTGTGCCCATGTGGGATATTGTACCCGGGTGTTCGGTGTGAAGAGCGAACGTTAACGCTTCAACCACTAGTCTATCCCACCGCCCCACACATCCACAGAAATATGACTCCTACCTGTAGTGCATTTACTTCCAGGGACTTTTCAAAGCATTCCATGGACTGTGCAAACTGAAAGAATAACCAGAGGACATATGACCTTGCAACACAATAGGAAACCCCATATTCCCCCTCAAGTAATGGGTGGAACATTTGCCAACATTTGTCTCTCTTCTCTGGAGGCAGCAAGCGTGAGGTGAGATTATTGCACTTGTTGACCTGGTCCCAGCTAATGCTGGTGTTAAAGTGTTACATGACGATACCAAGCTGCAGTTTGACATGAATTCCCTACTCTGCAACTGTAACCTGTGATGGTCCGGGTTAGAATGAACCTCCAGTAACCCATGCTTGTCGTAAAAGGCGACTAACGGGATCGGGTGGTCAGGCCCGCTGGCTTGGTTGACACATGTCATCGGTTCCCAGTTGCACAGATCGATGCTCATGTTGTTGATCACTGGATTGTCTGGTCCAGACTTGATTATTTACAGACTGCTGCCATATAGCTGGAATATTGCTGAGTGCGGCGTGAAACTGAACTCACTCACTCACTCACTCTGCCACTGTAAAACAACCTTTAGCTGACCAGTCTGGGTTTTATCCCTAATTCAGGGTTGAATTACAACAAGTAGCACAATATAATGTCACTTGTTATGGCCTGCCTGGGGATCAAACCTGCTCTCCTGGCAGACACTCGATCCCCTTGACCACAGAGGTGGTCGGACAGTGAAACATAGACTGGGATTTTGTATGTTTCTTCCAGGCAGTTTGGTGGCTCTACTCACAGGGCGAACATATTTCAGGCAGGTAAAACAATGGCTGATAGTCTCAGATCAATATCATCAACATTTTCCACTTGGGTGAAATTCTCAAGCATGCCGACTAACAAATGTTCATAATTGGAATAAACATGGGATGCAAACGCACAAGCAACAGCTCCAGGCAGCAAAGGGACACAACTCTACACTTTCAACTAACCAGACAAGGACACCTGCACCCTCCTTTCTATATAGCACATGGAACAAAGTACAGCAAGGGAGACAATCTTTAACCAACAATCCCAGTGGGCTCTTGAACAAAATTTTCAGTGATTGAGAACAGAAAGTGATCTGAGTCCCAGTGCTAGGATCATGCAAGTGGGTTGACCAAAGCGTTGTGTAAAGTGTGTACATACCTCTTGTCTGCCGAAGTACAGGTATCCCAGACATCGCATGGCACGGGCACTCCTCCTGTTGGACAGCTCCCAGGCCTTGTGGTAGTGGTCGACATTCCGAGTCACATCACCAAGAAAACAGTACAGGTTGGACGTCTCCTTCACTTCCAGCTGTTCTCGTATCAGACTTTCCGCCTGTGAACCACACCAGTCTGTGTAATTTGACTGTTACCACATCTGTTATTGTACATGAAGCGTATAAGCCAAGTGATTTTTGTGTTGTACCAAATATTAGGAAGAAATATGTATGGACATTAGTGAGTGAGTTTAGTTTTACGCCGCTTTTAGCAATTTTCCACCAATATCACGTCAGGGGACACCAGAAATGGGCTTCACACATTGTACCCACGTGGGGACTCGAACCCGGCTCTTCAGCAAGACAAGTGAACACTTTAACCACTAGGCTACCCCACCGCCCCTGATTAAACATTAAATATTGGACTAAACCTGTACACGGTATAAGGAACATCTCTACATCATTTGTATGAATAAGCAGATGTGTATGTTGATGTGCTTTAGAAAAAAATAAAACAATTATTTTCTTTAAGTATGCTGTATGTACATTCCTCTTTTTAAAAGAAAACCATTATCAGCACTCATCACTAGAAATGAAACATCATTACAATGTCATGAATTATGGTGAAAATTCCTCACCTTCTCCACTTTCCCCATCGTCTGGTAGCATGCGATGGCATCTTCCCACATCTGAAGACGCTCATAGATCTCTAGTCCCGCCCCAACCAGACCCAGGGACAGCAGAAGTGTCGCCAGGTTCTTCTGCAATAACAGGTTCTTCTGCAATAACATACTTCTTGATATACTACTAACAACCATGATATACTACTTCCTGCTACAAACACATACTTCTAGTTAACAACCATGATATACTACTTCCCTGCTACAAACACATACTTCTAGTTAACAACCATGATATACTACTTCCCTGCTACAAACACATACTTCTAGTTAACAACCATGATATACTACTTCCCTGCTACAAACACATACTTCTAGTTAACAACTATGATATACTACTTCCCTGCTACAAACACATACTTCTAGTTAACAACCATGATATATACTTCCCTGCTACAAACACACATACTTCTAGTTAACAACCTACTACTCTCTACTACAACACAAACTTCTAGTTAACAACCATGATATACTACTTCCCTGCTACAAACACATACTTCTAGTTAACAACCAAGATATACTACTTCCCTGCTACAAACACAAACTTCTAGTTAACAACTATGATATACTACTTCCCTACTACAAACACATACTTCTAGTTAACAACCAAGATATACTACTTCCCTGCTACAAACACATACTTCTAGTTAAAAACCATGATATACTACTTCCCTGCTACAAACACATACTTCTAGTTAACAACTATGATATACTACTTCCCTGCTACAAACACAAACTTCTAGTTAACAACCATGATATACTACTTCTCTACTACAACACAAACTTCTAGTTAACAACCATGATATACTACTTCCCTGCTACAAACACATACTTCTAGTTAACAACCAAGATATACTACTTCCCTGCTACAAACACAAACTTCTAGTTAACAACCATGATATACTACTTGCCTACTACACTTCCCTACACATACACATACTCTAGTTAACAACAAATACTACTTCCTACTACAACACATACTTCTAGTTAACAACCATGATATACTACTTCCCTGCTACAAACACATACTTCTAGTTAACAACCATGATATACTACTTCCCTACTACAACACATACTTCTAGTTAACAACCATGATATACTACTTCCCTACTACAAACACATACTTCTAGTTAACAACCATGATATACTACTTCCCTGCTACAAACACATACTTCTAGTTAACAACCATGATATACTACTTCCCTACTACAAACACATACTTCTAGTTAACAACCATGATATACTACTTCCCTGCTACAAACACATACTTCTAGTTAACAACCATGATATACTACTTCCCTACTACAAACACATACTTCTAGTTAACAACCATGATATACTACTTCCCTGCTACAAACACATACTTCTAGTTAACAACCATGATATACTACTTCCCTACTACAACACATACTTCTAGTTAACAACCATGATATACTACATCCCTACTACAAACACATACTTCTAGTTAACAACCATGATATACTAGTTAACAACCATGATATACTTCCTGCTACAAACACATACTTCTAGTTAACAACCATGATATACTACTTCCCTGCTACAAACACATACTTCTAGTTAACAACCA